TATCCTGTGCCATCCTCACAATCGCCACCATGCTCAAGTACAGTTCTTGCAGGGTGTCTCATATTATGCAATAGTGTAGAATTCAAGGTCAGACTTGACTCCACCACTGTCTCACAGAACTCTTGAACTGTTACAGCTGTGTAGGCCACCAAGTTCAAACCCATGGGCTAGGTGTCAGTTTGGAAGCTTCTTTCAACTCTAGTTTATGTGGTTGCAGGGGCTGAGAAGCACAGACCAGCAGGCTACTCACTCACACCCCAAGAATCATAAGTCAGAGAGATGCTGAGCCAGACACAGGTCCAGAGCCACAGTGGTCCTATGTATGGGATGCACAACACAACCTCAAGAAAACGAAGGGTAGTGATTTGAGTCATTCCCTCTAGTAAGATACTTTCCCTTCCAATCCTGTCTCATTAACATAATGGACAGTTGACTCCAAAATGAGACCACAACCACAGCATGTTGTTGGGTGCCTCTAAGTCAACTACAACTCAAAACAACTCAGGAACAACAGAACCTTGCTCTATTCTGCTCCGTCCTCATGATCTCTAATATGCAGAAGCCCACTGTTGAGGGTCATTTTCTCCCTCTCTTTTTTTTTAAACTCTGTACCTTCCCTAACATGATGAATAACCCTATGAATGTTGTTGCTGTGTGCTACCAAGTTGGAACCAACCCATAGCTGACTCTCCAACAGGTTTTCCTAGGCAGTAAATCACGAGGAGATTGTCCATCTTCCCATGGAGCAGCTGGTGGATTCAAACTGCATCTTTGGGATTGCATCATACCTTCTTACCAGTAGGCCATCATTGCTCCCTGTGAATAGCCACAGCATAGAGGTTCGGGTTTACAATGTATCAGAAACTAAAACCTGTGGCTAGAAGGACCATATTAAGGAATCTATTGCACTGCAGACTCTGGTGGCTTTGTTGTTGTTATTGTTATATGCCATGAAGTCAACTGTGACTTACAGCAACCCTTAGAACAACAGATCTGAACCCTGTCTTATCCTGTGCCATCCTCACCATCTGACACATTTGAGACAGTTGCTGCAATCACTATGTCAATCATCTTATTGAGGTCATCCTCTCTTTTGCTAACACTCCACCTTTCCAAGTTTATTGTCCTTCTCCAAGGATTGCCCATCCTAACAATATGTTCAGTGTGTAAGATGAAGTTTCTCTATCCTTGCTTCCAAGAAGCACATTGGTTTCATGTTCTCCAAGACAGACCTGTTTGTTCTCTTGGTAGTCAGGCCATGGGCTATTGCACAGCCATCGTAAAGGTGTGAAATCCACCAGCTCCTCTGCCAGAGAAAGACAGGCAGTCTCCTCATGCAACTTACTACCTTTGAAAACCCACTAGGGGGTCACCTATGAGTCAACTCCAACTCCACAGCACACTGTGCTGCAGTAAGGTAGTATAGACCTTGGATGAGAGTGACAGTATTACTATATGAAAGTTTATGCTGGACTCTGGCCTAAATTCTTTAGACTCGCAGCTCTGGCCCTTTGAACTATCAAATGAGGAAGCTAAAAAGGCCAAGATAGGAAACTCCCTGTCCAATGTCCCCTATACCTGCCCTCCGATGTTCCCTATACCTGCCTTCTCACATGGCAAATGGTAAGTAAACTTGGATTGAGGAAGGGTTGAGTTCAAAACACAACTCTGTCATTTTCTGGCTGTGGTTACTTCTCTGAGGCTCTTTGCTCAACTATCAATAGTGCTCCCGCAGGGGATGTCTCCCCCCAGGACATTAGCAATGCCTGCTACAAGACCAGGAAGTTTTAGTGGCCTAGTAGGTAAGAAACTGTGATCAGCTGCTCTACAGCAGGAAGATGTACAACTCCTCTCATGCAATTTAATACCTTCACAAAACCTGCTGGAAAGTCAACAATGAGTTGGTTCTGACTCCAAAAAAATGAGGTGTTTTTAGTTAGAGTTACATGACTGGCACTACAAGAGGCCTTGCCCTACTTTGTCCAAGCTTGGAAAATGTCCAGCATTCTGAACAGAGGAAAGGGATCACACACAGGCTCTGCTGTCTGTCTTCTGGGCGAATGGGACACAGGGTCTGTGGCCAATAGGAGCCACCCTAATTAATAAGGACAGTCCCTATACCTTGGTTTTTAACCTGTCAAATGGCAGAGCCCTAAAGAATCAAGCTCAGATCTCTTAGTGACTGGCTGAAGACAATAAGGCCAAGTGAGCAACCCAAAGAATGCTGGGTCAAGGCTTCTATTGAGAGTACCCTGCTGCCCCAGGCCTTGCTTCCTCCACAGCTACCCATGAGTCAGGAGCAGGGTCTGGAGCAGTTAGCGGAAGTTTACTCTTTCTGATTAGTCCCTCAGGCTGACTTGCACTTTCTGTGGCCTTCAGTTTCTCTTACAAAATCCACTCTTCCAGCAGCAGTGAGACAGGACTCCTGGCCGCAAATAGGAGGGCGGCACTGGGCCTTATTTGTGCCACTTTGTGCTGACCCAGTCACTGTGCTTGTGGCCTCTTGGGGCTGGATGATCCCGGCTATACTCTCATAGCCTCACTTTGTGCCTGTTTCCTGCCAGTGAGGGGATGAATCCATGTACTTATTGCATTCATCCAAGAGCAGGTTCTGTCTGTCTTTCAAGGCCATGCCTCACACCAGGAAATGGGTTTGGCTAAAAGAGAGGCTGTCCCCTGTGCTCCAGCCAACCTGACTTTGAGCCTTAAATGGTGGCCTAAGACTCTCTCCGACTTTCAATATCTTCATCTAGAGGGGAAACAAGATTAAATTTACACGCTGTTACATTGTTGTTAGGTGCCTTTGAGTCATAGCAACCCTATAAACAAGAGATATGAAACTTGCTCTATCCTGCGCCATCCCCACCATATCTGATATGCTTGAGTCCATTTTAGCAGTCACTGTGTCAATCCTTCCTATTGAGGGTCTTTCTCTCTTTCACTGATCCTCTACCTTTCACAGTGATGTCGTTTTCCAAGGGTTTGCCTCTCCTGCCAACATGCTCAAAGTAGGTGAGATGAAGTTTCACCATCCTTTCCTCTAAGGAGTATATGGGTTGTACTTCCTACAAGACATCATGACAGATGGAGAAAAGAGTAAAGTTGTCAGTGATTTCATTTTATTTGGATCCACAACCAAAACCCATGGTAACAGAAATTAGGAAAATCTTCTGTCAAGGAGCTCTACAAAATGCTAAAGAACAAATGTGTTAGTTCAAAAACTAAAGTGTGCCTGATCCAAGCCATGGTATTTTCAATGGCTTTCTACGCAACAGAAGGGCTTGCATAGCCTTGATCAAATGCCCAGCTATATGTTAATATAACATTTCACAGAGAGGGCTATTGATACACAGAAAGGTTGAGCAACTCGTTTGAGGCCACACAGCAACCAGGCAGCCCTTCTAAGACACAGCCTTTCTAGTAAGCTGGCCTCCTCACACACTCCCAGGGAAGGTAAGCAACTAAAAGGGCCATTTGCCTAGCTAGTTTCCATGTCCATGTCCCTGAGTGGATATAATCAGAAAACAATGAAGTCTGGGGACCCTGAGGCAGAGTGTGAATAGCTGGTGGGAAAGGTCTGTAGATGTCTGCCTCACTGCTGTGCTTACCTGAAACTAGCCTCTGTCCAAGCCACATCATCCAACCTGAAGGAGGTGAGGGCCAGGCCACAGTGAAAGGGCTGAGTTCAGGCAGAGAACTGCACATGGGTGCTCAGCTAAACAGTCGGGAGCAGGGATGCCAGATCTGGAGGAGCTGGGATGTGTCCCTTGGAGACAAATTGGTGGAGACGAGAGGTGTGCTGCCAAAGTGCAAGGAAGTAGTGGGCCATTCCGCGTGACTCCTTCCTTACCCTCGGGTCCTGAGTCTGTGTTTGAAAGAAAGCCAGAGACCCTCCCCAGAGGACAGCCCCGGGGCTCCCTTGGCTGCCGAGTGAGTCCTGACTCACAGACTGCAACAACCTGATCTGTAAAGGCCGATTCGTTTTCTAGAATAAAACCATCCAGGACAATGCACACCCATGTTTCCTGTGGCTTTGTTCACAATAGCAAGGATTTGGAAACAACCTAAGTGCCCATCAACAAACGAATGGATAGAGAAAACTGTGGTATATTCCCACAATGTAATACTATGCTGCACTGAAAAACAAGGAACTCATGCAATATTATTCAAAATGGGTGACTCTGGAGGACATTATGCTGAGTGAAGTATCTCAGTCACAAAAGGACAAATACTGCATGGTGCCACTGTTGTAAAACAGGACTGACCTTGGGGTCGGGGAGACTGAGAAAGGTGGGTTCAATAATGTATACTGCATTGAAACAGATGAGGGAGAAAATTGTTTAAAAGGGATATATGATTAGGTATTTTTGTCATGACAGGAGTCTAGAGCGAAGGCTACATGGTATAGTGGACCTGGGGGAGGGTTTGTAAAACAATGAAAGAATTTGTCTTTCACTTTTCCAGGAGGGTAGTGTACTTAGTAAGGGGGTAGGGTTGGGAGAGGAGAAAAGTGCAACAATGAATGAATGGAAATCCTAAGTCTCTATAAATTTTTACTGAAATTAATAATAAATCTAAATTTAAAAAAACACAAAACCATCCAGGACGGAAGCTCGAAGAGGGCAAAGAGCCTGGGCCGCTAGGCCGGTCGCCAGGAGGCCCATTGTGCGCCGGCCCGGTGCCAGCGTTCCCTCAGGCCCCCAAGAGCCCTGGAGGCGTCCATACCCAGAAGGACACCGAGGCTTCAGGAAGGGCCGCGTTGTTCCGGGATCTGCGGCCCTCAGTCCCACACCTGACATCACAAGGCTCCGCCGCCCCCGCCCACTAACTCCGCCAGCTCCCACTCCCCACTCACCCCCCACTCTATCCCCGCCCCGCCCGTCGCCCCCCTGCTCGCGCCCCCAGCCGGGTGCCGCCCTGGTGCCTCCCCTCCGCTGGGCGGGCCTGTGGGCGGGGCGGGACCGGCGGGACCAAAGGAGGCCGTTAGCGGTGGCGGCGACATGGACTCGGGAACTGAAGAGTACGAGCTCAACGGCGCCCTGCGCCCCGTCTCCCCAGGCTCTGCTGGCTCTCCGGACGCCTCGGTAAGCCCGCTGCTTCTCTGCGCGACCTAGGCACAGCGCCCCTGGACCCCTCTCACCCCGCGACCTGCCGCCTCCTCCCCGCTCTGCGGCCTGGGCGCACTGCCCCCAGACATCCCCGGGCAAGAAGTGTGGCCTGGACACAGCGCTCCTGGGATGCCCTTGGGCCATTCGCCCGCACCTGGGATGCCCCCACCGCGGGCCCCAGCGATGTGGATCGGGAACCGAGATCCTCTCCTCGGCCTTCCTTTCGCTGTCGGGATGGGGCCTTGGCTCCGGGAACGGGGTTCTGGGCATGTGGCGGGTGGGGCGGGCGCTCAGCCGATGGCAGCCTGCCGTGGACTGGCACAAGCGTGACTTCGCTAGGCTGACCTGCCTTGCTGCTGCCGCCGCTCCTTCACTCTTCTTTATTCTCCTAACTTTAAACCTTGGCGGCGCTCCGTGGGTGGAGAGGAGTCGCAGTCTCCAGCTGCACACAGTTATGTCACCGTTTGGTGACCACAGATTTTGATGTGTGCCTACCTATTCGACTAACCTACCCTGGAGACATCAGGCGGTGGAGGACACTGCCCCCACCCACGACTGCTGGGGTACACTCACAAGCCCCAAGGCCAGGTTGCTAGGGCTACCCTGGTGACTGGGGAGGGCGGAGGGGTTCTGATATCCAACACCGGCACCGCCCCTCGGGGCAGGCATTCATGGGATTGGGCCCTCAGCTTTGGCCTCGGAGACGCCACCGCTCACCCAACTCATCTTACTTCCAGCGCTTTGTGACTTATTAACTGGACAGCCTTTCATTTTCCAGCTCCTCTGGGTGAGGTGGAGGGTGGCCTGTGGCATTTTCTGGACTGTAGGCAGAAGCTGGTGTTTTCTGGAGGGTACAGTTTTGAGCAGAGACCATCCTGGGCCAATGCGGTGGTGACGGGTGATGCTCAGAAAGAGGCCCCTGAGACTCTTGGGTGCTTCCCTCTGTGCCCTGCTGTCTGCCTTCACTTTCTCTCGTGTGCAGCCTTTCCCAGGGCATAGCTGCTGTGCCAGCGCCTCCACATGCCCTCTCACTAAGTCTTCCTGCCAGCCATCCATTACTTGGGAATGTCCATCCTCATGTTAGCGCTGAGGAAATCAAAGTCAAACAAGGACGACCAGGAGCCAGGAGCTTCAGGGTGTCTCACACCCCCAGAGGCCTTTCTATGGCAAGCACTAAAATTGCACCCCTGTCCAAACATGACACCCATTTTTATATAACCTCATAATATCAGCTGAAAATACAAGCCCGAGATTGTTGGTCTTTTTTCTTAACACTGTGTGAAAATTATTACTGCATCTCCCTTGTTTTCACTGAAAATTTATCTGTAATGTACTCAAAGTAATTTTTCCCCCTCGATTCTTCTGCCCAGAAGAGCAAGATCACACAACTTGCTTTGCTGCAGACACTCCCCCAAAAGTGTCTACTTTAACCCTTTTGTGACCTGTAAAATATATATGGTGCACCTAACAGTCTGTAACTCTGAAGTTTACAGGGAAGTTGTTTTGCCTCTTAATGAGTGTTCACATTTGATGGGGCCTTGTACAACTACACAAATATAAAAAAGTGGGCATGACCTTATGTCCCAGTTAATTGTATTAAACCTATGCTACCTCTTTCCCTGCCCCCCCCATTTCACTCTAAATGTCTTTTGTTACTGAAAACAAATTGTTTCAACAAAAAAATTTAAAGGATTTCATTACTAAATAATCTATCATGGCTGGTGATGAGAATTGCTATGATTAATAGCTATTATAGTTAATAACCATAATAGCTACTCAGTGGCACCCTACAACAAATGGTGGTCAGGGCATGGCCGTATCCATGACTCTGGATAAGCCTTTGCCTCTGAGACCAGCCCATCCCACCATGATAGCACTGTGGGGGCAATGGTGTCACCCACTGGTGTCTGTGGATGCTGCTACACCTATCTAGGTCTTCTATTAGTGAAAATAAGAAGGGGAGCCATCTTTGACAAACTCCAACACCCTTTCCTGTTTAAAACACTCAACAAAATAGGATTAGAGGGGAATTTCTTCAACATGGTAAAAAGTATTTATGTAAGCCCAAGAGCCAACATTGTTCTCTATGGAAAGAGGGTAAAGGAACACCCACTCTCATCTCTCTTATTCAGTATTGTATTGGAAGTCTTAGTGATAGCAATAAGACAAGAGAAGGAAATAAGAGGTATCCAAATTGGCAAAGAGGAGGTAAAATTATCTCTCTACGTAGATGATATGATAGTATACCTAGAAACCCCTAAAGACTCAGCAAGAAAACTATTGGACACAGTGTACCAGTTCAGCAAAGTATCAGGATACAAGATCAACATACAAAAACCAGCTGGAGCTAAGAAAAACAATACCCTTCACAATAGCTAATCACAAGATTAAATAATTGGGAATAAATTTAACCGGAAGCACAAAGGATCTATTCAAAGAAAATTACAAAACATTACTACAAGAAACAAAAAGAGACCTGGAGAAGTGGAAGAATAGCCCTTGCTCATGGGTAGGAAGACTCAGTATTGTGAAAATGGCAATACTACAAAAGACAATTTACACATTCAATGAAATCCCAATACAAATAGCAATTCCATTCTTCAACAAGATGGAAAGGCAATCTCCAGTTTCATTTGGAATGGAAAGAAGCCCCAGATAAGCAAAGCACTCCTTAAAAATAGAAAAAAGGTAGGAGGTATCTCACTCCCTGATTTCAAATCCTACTACACTGCCATGGTGGTTAAGATAGCATGGTACTGGTACAATGACAGACACATAGATCAATGGAATAGAATTGAGAACCCGGAGATCAGCCCGTCTACCTATGGCCAACTGATTTTTGACAAGGAGATGAAATCAGTTAAGTGGGGAAATGACAGCCTTTTTAACAAATGGTGCTGGCAAAATTGGAAAAATATCTGCAGAAGACTCAAGCAAGATCCACACCTCACTCCCTACACAAAAACCAACTCTAGGTGAATCATGGACCTAGGACTAAAACCAAGGACTGTAAACTTAATTAAAGAAAAGCTTGGACCTTCTAAGAATCAAACCCTATGCACATCCAAAAACTTCTCCAGCAGGGTAAAAAGGGAAGCCACAGACTGGGAAAAAGTATTTGGTAATGATATGTCAGATAAGGGACTTATATCTAGAATTTAGAAAATACTTGAGCACCACAACAAGATAAAGGTAAATAATCCAGTCGAAAAATGGGCACAGCATATGAATGTGTATACATGTGTGGGCTTGCATTTTTGTATGTATATGCACTTGCATATATATGCACATGGTCTCCACTCTTCATTCTCTCAAAGCTAGGGATTTTTGGTAGGGTCTCCACCTTTTTCTTTTCTTTTTCACTAAATGACATTTCCTGGGTATTAGTAATAGCACTCTTCTCATTTTCTCCCTGTTTCCCATTTCCATCTTTTCTTATAATTTCTTGTTCTCTGATCTTTATCCTTGGCCATATGCAGTCCTTTTATCTTGCATGACTGATTGTTCTAAGACATTTGTTTCTCCCTGGTATTACTTATTACTGTTCTCCTTACAGGCCAGCCTATTGTTTAGCTGGAAGTAGAGTCATGGTGATTAAGTTCTGTTCCAGGTTGGTGAATACTGTTTGTGTCCCGAGCTCATGTGCGTTCCCTGTTTCTTTTTCAGCCTATCCCATTCTGGCTGGGCCCAGGTAACTGCACCCCAGAGCTCCCACTCAGAAGCTATGCATCTTTCATGAGTCTAGAAGCAGGATCTTATTGGGCAGCCTAGGAGGGCAAGTCTCTAGTAACTGATGCTCCCAACAGCCAAAGATGGCAACGTACATGTAGTGGCCCAGGAGTGCTGCGGACAGTGGTATAACGTTGAGACCTGGAGGCAGCAGATTTGTCCTGGATAGATGAGGAGGGGCAGATCAAGCAAAGACTGAAGAGGGCTGCTGTCAGCAAACAGTCAGCCTGAGAAGTCTGTGTCTCTCACAAAAGGCCAAGAGCGGGGGATGTGCTGGCCAGTATTGGGACAAATGGTGCCAGAGGAGGCATAGACCTGATGTCAGGTGGTACTCAGGAATCAGGGAGAGGTCATACTTTTCTATTCTCTTCATGTAGAAATTCAGAAAGAAGCTGAGCTCACCTGCATCAGGGCAATAATTGAGTGCCATTGTGTGCCAGGTGGGCGCTGAGCATCTTCTCAGGCCCACGCATCAAAGTGGTTGTTCTTATGCATAGATTTTGCTACAGCATAGAGGACCTGGGAGCATTCAGGCAGAAGATGGAAGGTTCTCTTTTTTACTGAGCAGGTTAGCAGGATCAGGAACCTGGCTTGCCCCACCTACATGCTCCCTCTGCAGAAGAACCAGGTTGTGCTGAGGGCCTCCAGCTTTGGGCCAGCTGTCCACATGGCCCTGCCCATGCAAAGGGAGAGGGTGAGACATATTTCCAAAGCCAGTAAGACTAATACTTGCATGATTCCATCCTTAGAAAGTGTCCTCCAGAGTAAATCACGTTCTTCCATGGCTTCTTACTATAGCGGTGTGCTAGGCACTTAACAGGGCCATTACCTGCAGCACTCCATTTCACTCACCAGGTTGCTTCCTTAGTCCTGAGCTCATTTTGAAGGGAAGAAGTGGACTTAGAAGGTTCTCCTCATCCCCATGTCACCTGTGGTGGGGAAGCTAGGGTTGAAGCTAGTTCCACCTGTCCCAACTCAACTGGCCTTGACTGATCATGCCTTATTCTACAGCCACCACACTGGAGCTGGAGGACTCGGCCCATCAATGTGAATCACTATGCCAACAAGAAGAGTGCAGCTGAGAGCATGTTAGACATTGCCTTACTGATGGCCAATGCCTCCCAGCTCAAGGCCGTCATTGAGCAGGGCCCCAGCTTCGCCTTCTTTGTACCTCTTGTCGTTCTCATCTCCATCTCCCTAGTTCTCCAGATTGGTGTGGGTGTGCTGCTCATCTTTCTTGGTAAGTACTTGCCTACCTGGCCAGAGGGCCAAACGGTAGGGAGACGCTTGTGACTGCTTGCTCCTCTAGCTGTCCAGCCTCCCCACCCTTCCCAAGTCTTCCCCTTTCCATCCATCTGAGATGAAGACACATAAGAAAATACCGTAACTACACTGAGTAGTTCATGAACACCTACTGTGTGCTATTTAACTCTCACAGAAGCCCTACATGAGAGACATTGTTCCAAGAGGCTAGCTTTACCTAGTGCTATCTTCTTACATCTGAGATGTAAGACTTCATCAGGCAGGATGCAGGCTCTGTTAGTGTACATGGTGCTGGGGGCTGTGACTTCCCTGAGTTGAACAAAGTCTGGCCCAGGAAGTGATGTCTTCAACCCTACCCCATGTCTCATCTGCACCATGAGAGTTCTAGTCTCTAATCCTGGCCCTGACAAGGGAATCTTAGGGTCCAAAGAAAGCGTATTCATGTGTTCATCTACATTCTCAACATCTGTTTTCATCTTTATATGTGTATTTTTTACACTCATTGGTTTAACTGGCAAGTTTTGTGCTCAGGATGGAGGTGGCCATGTGTATGATATAGAGCACCCCAGGCAGAGGAGCAGTACATACAAAGGCCCTGAGGCAGGAGGTCTGTGGGAGTCTGCTCTTTGACAGCTCTTGTGCTCAGTTATGCTGTGTGCAGGATGGAGCTAGATGTAGATCCTTTCTCCTTAGGCTTCACTGCCTTGTTGGTCAGAAAGATCCATAATGGCCTGGTACAAGCCAGGGTGGTAGGGCCTCAAGCATGCTCTTAGAGCAGGGACAGACTAGAGGATCCCAAGGGAGCCATCATCTGAATGATACCTTTGCAGAGCCTAGTGGAGAGAGCTTCTGCCTGCAGCTTGTGGGCAGAGGGGAGAAAGCCAGCATTATAGCCTAGACAGCTGCCACTGCCTCAGACTCCACCTCTTCTTCGTGGGAATTGCATCGTCTGCCTGAGAGAACAAGCTGCCCTGCTTAGCCTTCTGTGTCAAAGTCTTGTCTCACTTGGTCATTTCTTGAGCACCTTTTGCGTGCTGGCCATCCTGTTCATCTTGTCCCGTTTGAGCTCAAGTCAAGTGGGGAGGTAAGACTGAGAAATAAACAGCAGACTCAGCACAGTCCCAGACTCAGCAGTCACAGTTCTCCATCAAGTACCCCAAGCACATGGACATCTGTCATCTTCATTTATGTTGTTGTTATGTGCCATCGAGTTGCTTGCGACTCATAGCGACCCTATGTACAACAGCCCTAAATTCTGCTCTGTCCTGTGCCAATCGCACTGTCTCCGACACTCCCATCCCGATTATCCCAGTCACTGAATCAATCCACCTCATAGAGGGCCTTCCCCTCCTGCGCCATCCCTCCACCCTCTCAAGCATGATGTCCTTCTCCTCACAACATGTCCAAAGTATGTTAGACGGAGCCTCAGAATCCTTGTGTACATTTATACTTGAAGAAAAGGAACTTGCTCAAGGAAGGTCACAGAGTTAAGCAGTGATGGAGATAAAGCGGGTCCACTGCATATCCCCTCCAAGCAAGCAGACAGGATCACCTGAGCCCTTGCTGTCTGCTAACCATGGTACCTCAACCAGCACCACAGTCCATCCCTATTTTGGAAGCTAAGTCAGTTAGTGGTGGAGCTGGAATTTGAATCCAAGCAAGGTGGGGCACCCAGCCATTTCTCTACAGGGTTGTGACTCCTGCTATAGTTACTGCTCCCAGGGATATCTGCCCACACCTAGCTGCATAAAACAACTGTTTACTCATGCTTATGGTTGGGTTGATGAGGAGTTTGGATGAAGTGTGGCAGGGAGGGCTGACATATTAGCAATGTCTACATCCCCACTGAGGAAACTCAAATAGAAGAGATAACCCCATAGCTCATGCTTTATGCAGCCTGGACTTCCTTACAACATGACATATCACACCAATGCTGCATGCCCTTTTCAGGGACCTTGTACCTTTCTGGTGGCCTAATGGTAACTCAGAGGTAGGTGATTTAGGTTTGCCCTCAGCTCCAAGGGAGAAGAAAGATGGACAATTTCCTCCTGTGCAATTTACAGCCATTGAAAACCTGCTGGAAGGTCAGCTGTGAGTCTGTTCCAACTTGACAGAGACAGCGGTTGATTTTTTTAAAAAAACCATATGCCCCTAAATGTTGACTTCATGATTGTTAACCAAAGATAGACTTGGGGGGGGGGGAAACATATATTTTACAAAGTATATTCTCAACTTCTAGTCACTTAACAGGGTATACGTACTATATGTAGAATGGACAATCTCCTCCCATGCAGTTACTGCCTCTGAAAACCCTCCAGATGGTCAGTCTGCCGGTTGCAACTTGATGGTACACAACAACAGTACCAGACACCAAGCACTAAGCAAAATAGAAAAGATGTTTTAAAAAAAAATACGTGTCCTCTGAAAACTTATGTTTCAAAATACAAATGACTGTGTCAACCAGAAGCAAAAGCCATTAGAGTAGCTGTGCTTTTTGCCTGTTGCTATGGACATGTTTTATTTCTACTTGACTCAGGGGAGGCAGCAACATTTTTTAATAATCCTAATCTCTATGGCTGACTCTGAGAAGAATGGGAATCCCAGAACATTTGATCGTGCTAATGCGAAACCTATACTTGGACCAAGAGGCAGTCGTCAGAACAGAGCAGGGAGACACTGGATGGTTCCAAATCAAGAAAGGGGTCCATCAGGGATGTATTTTGTCTCCATATCTTTTCAATCTGTATGCAGAACAGATCATCCGAGACACTGGGCTGTACGAGGAGGAATGTGGCATCAGGATTGGTGGAGGAATCATCAACAACCTGCGTTATGCAGATGACACGACCCTGCTCACTGAAACTGGGGAGGACCTGAAGCACTTGCTGGTCAAGGACTGCAGTTTTCAATATGGATTGAAGCTCAATATCAAGAAAACAAAGATTCTCACCACTGGGCCAATTGGAAGCATCAGTTTGGATGGTGAAGACATTGAGATAGTTAACAGTTTTAGTTTACTTGGCTCCACAGTCAACACTCTTGGTAACAGCAGCCAGGAAATCAGGAGACGAATTGCATTGGGAAAGTCAGCTGTGAGGGACCTCTCAAGAGTACTGAAGTGCGACAGACGTCAGGCTGGAGACTAAGGTGCACCTGATCCAGGCTATAGTCTTTGCAATTACGTGCTATGCATTGGAGAGTTGGACAGTGAATAGGGATGATAGAAAGAGAATTGATGCCTTTGAGTTGTGGTGCTGGAGAAGAATGTTGACTATACCATGGACTGCTAGGAAAACAAACAGGTTTGTCCTGGAGAGGGTGAAGCTGGAATGTTCCCTGGAGTCAAGGATTCTGAAGCTTCATCTGACATACTTTGGGCATGTTGCAAGGAGGGACTGGTCCTTGGAGAGGGACATCATGTTTGGGAGGGTGGAGGGACGGCACAGGAGAGGAAGACCCTCGATGAGATGGATCGATTCTCTGAGTGGAGTGATGGGAATGAATGTGTTTGAGACAGCGAGGTTGGCACAGGATAGAACGATGTTTAGGGCTCTTGTATATAGGGTCACTATGAGTCGCAAACGACTTGATGGCACATAACAACAACAAACAGCAACAATCTCTGTTTGACTGTGTGGATCATAACAAACTGTGGCTGACTCTGAGAAGAATGGGAATCCCAGAACACTTGATCATGCTAATGAGAAACCTATACTTGAACCAAGAGGCAGACGTCAGAACAGAGCAAGAAACACTGCATGGTTCAAAATTGGGAAGGGCCTATGCCAGCGATGTGTCCTGTCTCCATACCTTTTCAACTTGTATGCGGAACAGATTTTCCGGGAGGCTGGGCTCTATGAGGAGGAATGTGGTGTCCAGATTGATGGAAGATCTATCAACAATCTGTGATATGCAGATGACACAACCCTGCTTGCTGAAACCGAGGAGGACCTGAGCACTTGCTGCAGAGGGTCAAGGACTGCAGCCTCTAATATGGATTGAGGCTCAATGTCAAGAAGACAGATTCTCACCACTGGGCCAATTGACAGCATCAGGATGGATGGTGAAGAGATTGAGATTGTTCACAGCTTTAGTTTGCTTGGCTCCACAGCCAACACTCTCGACACCAGTAGCCAGGAAATTAAAAGACGTATTGCGATGGGAAAGTCTGCTGTTAGGGACCTCTCCAGAGTACTGAAGAGCAACGGTGTCTCTCTGGAGTCTGAGGTGCGTCTGATATAGGCCATGGTTTTTGCAGTCACTTGTTATGCATCAGAGTTGGACAATGACTAAGAAGGATAGAAGGAGAATTGATGCCTTTGAGCTGTGGTGCTGGAGAAGAGTATTGAGGGTACCATGACTGCAAGGAAAACAAACAGATTCATCCTGGAAAGGGTCAAATCAGGTGACTCCTTGGAGGCAAGGATTCTGAGGCTCTGTCTAACATACTTTGGACATGTTGTGAGGAGGGACCGGTCCTTGGAGAGGGACATCATGCTCGGTAGGGTGGAAGCACAGGAGGGCAAGGCCCTCTATGAGGTGGATTGGTTCAGTGACTGGGGTAATTGGGATGATTGTGTCAGAGATGGTGCGATTGGCACAAGTCAGAGCAGAGTTTAGGGCTGTTGTACTTAGGGTCACTATGAGTCGCAAGCGACTCGATGGCGCATAACAACAACAACAACAATCTCTTATTTTTTAATTTTAGTTTTTCATCTTTATTCACTGAACTGGAGCAATATTCGCTCCTTTTTTTTGAAATAGTTATTTCCAAAACCTTATATTTCAGTTTGTCCAACTCTTGGGGTTTTAAGGTTCTCTGATAACATAATATGTTTGTTACGTGCTGGGGTCTTAGCCAGAAGGTCAGGGTTAAAATACACCAGCTGCTCCCTGGGAAAAAGATGGGCAGTCTCCACTAATGAAGATTTACAGTCTTAAAAGCCCAATGAAGAGTTGCTCAGAATTAACTCCACAGCAATGGATTTAGTTGTGGTCCAATGTATGTATATTGCATGTATCCATACATACATTTATAACATAAACATGTCATTTCTTAATGGTGGCTCACTTCCTCGAGTACATCAAAGAGAACCAATAGAAGTGTATCACCTTCTATGGCTTGACTTCAGATATCACATAGTGTCACCTACAGTCATCACAAGCTAGTCCACATTTAAGACAAAGCAACAGAGTGCCTCCATTGAGATGTACCAAGGTTATGAGAGAGAAGAGGTACTGGTGCTGCGTTTTGTTTTTTGGTTTTTTTTGAGAATGCAAGTGGTGTCTACCCTTCTGCTACAGTATTTGAACATCTCTCCATGCATCACATATCCCTTGAAGCCTCCCAAGACACAGCCCACAATGACAGCAGCTTTGAGTCCAGGTTCCTGTCCTCTAAGTTAGGCTTAGGTCAAGTCCTTAGACATAGCTACTCTTGTTTGAAGACACCTGAAATGTGTGTACAAGTTACTGCCTCCTGTGCCCACACTCAGTTCCCTAGCAGGGCAGAGCTCAGGCTAGCTCAGTTTGTGTTCCTTTTTCTGAGGGCGTAGCCTTACTATGTTTTCTTTTCTAAAAGGAGGACATTTCTTTTTCCATGTTGTTGTGTACCATTGATTAAAATCACATCATTGCTGATCCTCCAGTGGGTTTTCAGAGACTGTAAATCACACAGGAGGAGACTGCCCATTTTTCTCCTGCTGGTGGTGGATTTGAACTGTGTGCCTTTGAGATGACTCTACAACTCCTTATCACTAAGGAAATGGAATTTACAACTGAGTCTTTTTCTGTGTTTATTTCCTGCATGTAAAAGACTAAGGGAATATATACCTCTGCCCTCAATAAGGTAGATTGATACATTGATGCAGCAATTGGCTTACCTATGTCAAAGATTGTGAGGATGACACAACATAGGGCAGGGTTCAGGTCTGTTGTTCATAGGGTTGCTGTGATTCATACTTAATTCGATGGCACCTAACAAGATGCAGAATTCCTGCCAGTGTAATTCTTTAAAACAGTTGTGGGGTTTCTGTGAACCACATTGTGATTCATGCATTAAAGAGAAGCCATGTCCACACATCTTTCAGCACTTTGTCTTTTTCCACCTTGGACTCCAGAGAAGCACCGTGGGCCCATACGGAGCCCACAGCTTACTGGACAGCTTACTGAGGTAAGTCCCTGGGATCCTGGAGTACTTACTTGTCCACAGCTTGGGCTTTCAGTGTTGGGTCTCCTGTTCCCTGCCATGGATTAATCTCCATACAGAGAGCAGATCCACAAAATCCAGGGACTACTTGGTGCTCAGGAGAGTTACTGGTACACACCTGCCGGTGGTGGTTGGAGCATCAAAGTTATATATCAGGAGTGCCTTCTTGGCCCAGTGCATTGCCCCAACACAGCTTCCTGTTCCTGGTAGCTGGCCATTTATGAGAGAAGACCAAAATTTCAGGCTATAGTCGCCAATATATTATTCCTTCTAACACTGAGTAACTAAATACTGTCACCTCAAATTCAGATCAGTGTGAGTGGGAGGTGGAGATGGACAACTGTTCTTTAACTCCAAAACTCAGAGAAACCTTAGAGTAGTATGCCCCTTTCTTCACTATGGTATGTGAAACTCCGGAATTCTTGTCTTAAAACCAAAAGAAGAGGTAAAGGAGATTTACCTGCTGTGTACACATCCTCAGGGGCTAGTCTAAGAGAAGAAAAGCAATGAACGGGAAAAGGAAGTCCTTACCTGTGTGGGCTTTCTACCATTCACAGATGGTAGTGGAGGTTCTAGAGGCTAGAAAGTCACCCAAGTCCCAGCAGTGACCACTACAGCAAGATCTGTCCTGACCTAATATTACTGCCCTAGGAACCTGTTTAATAGACAGAATGTACTATTTGCCATTCACTTTCCAAACATGTAGCAGAGCCATCTCTGCATCATCCCATTGACACCAGAGTCCAGCCTTATCATCACGAGCTGAGCAGAACCTGGGTGAGGCAGCACTTGCAGCTCAGGATTCTGATCTGCTACCCTCCAGAGCTCCCATTTACTGAGGGGAAAATAGAGCTCCAGACAGCTTGCTTGCATGGCTGTGTGGGTTAGAGGCAATATGCCTGGAGGCCACCACTTAGTAGTTTATGAAAGTGTGCCGTTTTCTCCATGGAACAAAACTTACCATGAAAATGACACCGAGAACCCCATGATCCCTGTGAAGTACAGCTTGGCCATGAATGCCCAGGCCATGGTAGGAAAGGTGCTTCTAGGCAAGACTTCTGAAAGGACAGCCTTGTCCACTCTCCCATCTTGCCCTACAGTCAAGTACGACCTCAACAACCCAGCCAAGCATGCCAAGCTGGACTTCCTCAACAACCTGGCCACAGGCCTGGTGTTCATCATTGTGGTGGTCAACATCTTTATCACAGCCTTCGGTGTCCAGAAGCCCATGACTGACACAGCGCCCCAGCAGTAGGGCTCAGGTAAGTGGGGAAGACTGTGAGATCTGCCCAGCCAGAATGGCCTAAACTCTGCCTGCTGTCCATAGATAGAGCCCCGGAGCAGCAGGTGTCTCTCAGACTGATGACCTCCCCACTCACGTTGCTCCCTTCCTGGCCAGGGCCTGAGGACACTTGATGGATAGCTACACCTGTCCATCTGGGGCTCGCTTAGAGCTGGGTCTGTCTTTGGGCTCACTGACCCAATCCTCAGTAGGTGAGCAGAAATGGTTTGGAGTCACTTGAAGTCAGGAGAGTACACACAAAAATAAACTGATTTCCCTGGAGATGCTTGGTCAGCACCTTCCTCAGGCAGGCAATAGGAAGCTGAGGGCCACTAGCTGGGCTAATGATGCCCATAGCTTGTGGAAGTAGGAAGGAAAGTTGGGCTGTGAGGAGTTCAAGACACCTACTTATCTGCCTGAAGAGATGACTGGGTGTTGAGGCTGTGGGTCACACAGCACTGAAGGGCCCTGGCTGCCTCGAGGTGACCCAGGACTTGGGAGGTAGTTTCTGTAGGACAGTGGGCCCCCTATGCCATGACAGCATACTGCTGATAGGTCCCCCTGCACAGCAGACAGCAGTCCAGATGTGAATGGGGGCTTCTGGGGAAGGGCTGAGACTGCTTAAGCCCTGAGACGCAACAGTATCACTGCATAAGAATGAAGTCCAGGAGTGATCCATGAGCTGGGGCAAAGGAAGCTTGCCTTCCTCCAACACAAGGTTGAACTGTAGCTTACTGTCCCAGATGATGGCCCTGTGTTCTCTAGGTGCCTGCCCATGGCCTTTTCCATGTCAACAAAGCAGGGAGAGAGCCCTTGGGTCCAGAGCCCCTAGTGTGAAGCTGAAGCTACCTAGGAACCTGGGAATCTTAAGGCCCCATGTAGTGTTCAGTTCAGTTTCAGCAACTGACCCTCATTTGTGGCTAAGCCTGTTACATCCTGCAAAACTGCTTCCTTGCTCATATTCAGTACATGTGTTGCTTGCCTATGTTATGCTCCTCTGCAGTCCTGAGGCTGCACTGCCCCATTGGCCCATGTCCAACAGGGAGAAGAGCCTTCTGTGGCCAGAGTCGAGGGGCAGCACAGAAGTTGAATCCCAGGCCCAGAGCAGTGTCTGTTCAGCTCTAGTTCTTGCTGTTCTGAGGGGACCCAGCCAGGACCATGGGACTCCCAGAGGTGACTAGTGATGTCGGAGTGGTAGCTCTGCTGACAGTGTATTCCTGATACAGAAAATGCCATGCCACAGGCTTGCTTGCTACCCTGCCTCAGAGTCCTAGTCCTGGTGGCCGAAGAAGACCAAAGTAGTCCTGTTTACAGAGTTGGGCTGATGCTCAGAGTACCCGCCTAGATGTACTGGCAATTTGAGGCCAGGCAGGCCTATCTCATCCCAAGTCTAGCCAGCGTTAGCCATCAAACACCACGGGGGCTGCTCTTGGCTTTTGCACCCTGGAGTCTGACCACGTGCACTAATGCCTCTCTTCTCCTCTGCAGGTGACTGTGACTGCAGCCTGTAGTCTAGCCCACGTGAGAAGCTGCCTATCTTTGCAGCATCTGCCTTCAGTGGTGCCTCCAGAATTCCTATGGCAGGGACATGGGGCACCTCCAGAATGAGCTTTGCCTGATTGCCTTAGCTGGACCTGCATGCTGAGCTTCAGCAGGCCCAGAGGCTGCAACTAGTTACCTACTGCCCCCAGGAGCTGTGTTCCCATCTCACAGTGCAGCTAACAAGGTGCCATGAGTTATGCCAAGAGGCAAAGTTGGCCCAGAATAAGCTATCCTTTATTGCCAGCCCCTCTGCCTCAGGACATTCTAGAGAAAGGAAGGTACTGCACCTTCTCCACCAATGTTGCCTGCTGCCTATGTCTGACTGGAGCCTCTCCATATCGTGACATTCATGCAGTGCCTTCCACTTGCTTCCGAGCATGGGAGCCCGGCTGGCCGGGGAAAAGCCTCTGCTCACCTCCCTGGGCTTGACCGCCCTTCACCAGCAGCCATGGGGCGGTGCCCTAAGCCCAGCTATTTACTAAGCATGAAGCAACAATAAAATTTCTACTCTCTTTGACTGGCTCTGTACCCTCTACCCACTAGGCTAGGGCCACAAGCGCTACTCTAATTCCTGCAGGCCTATGTCTAAGCTGTGTAAGAGACTATGTGGTTCCATCCAGGAAGCCCTCCAGTGAAGAGGAGCAGGCCTGCTGCAGGGCCCCTTCTTGGTCAGGAGGCCATGGACATTGCTTTGGGTGCCTTCTCCAAACCAAGATTTGGGTGTCACTTGGTACTGGTATCATCTCTCAGGAGCCAGCTCTGGGCTGAGATCCCAGGATCTGCACATCCAAGTCTTAATTCTCCTTCAGAGCTGAGCTATTTTAATTTAGAGTTCTGGAATAATGCAGCAAACTCCCTGTTTCTTTCACCCAAACCACCAATGGCTCACATCTGCCATATATGTGTCATCACTCACTTCAGGCCAATGGTCTTCAAGTATGGGCCCAGGAACAGCACCTTCAGTCTTGCTCAAGCCACTGTCTTTTAGTATTGTAGCAAGGTCAGTGTCCACCTCTCCACAATGTCCTGTGTTGGTTAATCATAGAATATCCATTCATCCCACACCCCCTTAGTGGGCTACCTCTTCTAAAGTCTCCATTTCCTCGATGTTCCTCACCTGCCTGTGTTCATGACCTGATGAAACCTGTGTAGCCATGTGTTGTGTCCACAAGGGATGTATTATAAGGAAGAATGACCCAGAAGCACATCACCTCGGTGGCATATAGGTGATGGCTACATTCCTGCTTGTGGTTCTTTTGATAGCTTTGGGCACAAAAGTCAAGAATGTAGATCTCTCATTCCCCTAGGAATTCCTGTTAGGAGTTATTGGGAGAAAGGCCAAATGTCCATGAACTTTGGAAGAGGAACAACTTTTGTTGCGATGGCTAGCTATCATCTTCTTGAGCCCAGAGGCAATGGTACCATAGTATGTGTTGGACTGCTAACCAAAAAGTTGACAGTTTGAATACACTGACTTTTCTGAGGGAAAAAGATGACATAATCTAATCAAGTAAAGATTTATGACCAGAAATCTAATGGTTGAGGGTCACCATGGTTTGGCTTGATTTGTCCAGGATATGGTAATGTTCAGACAGCTCACAAGCAGCCTTTGCCCCGGCTGCCCCACCTCTGAGGCATATCAAAATAGGTCATATAGCTTCTAACACTTCCACTGATGAGTTTCTCCTTGTCCCCAAGGCCTGCAGAACAAAAATACTAGCAGTTCTCCCACGTCTATGCTGGCCTCAGCTGCCCAGCAGACCCTACTTTACTGTCGGGGTTTGTGATTCCTCCTTTCCTTCATCTTAACAGTGCTACCTCATCAGTCAATTATTATATCTCTGTAGGAAAAGGAGTTGAGAATGTGTAGTATCCCAAGTTCCCAAGAGTTGTTTGTACCATCATGTCATGCCACCCACTCTAATCAGTGCCTATTGAGCAAAGCTAAGTATCATTTGCTGAGGACCTGCCATATCCTCATCTAACCCACTCCAGAGACCCTGGCCTTGTCTCCTGAGGCGCAGCCCATTTCCTGTACCATATTCCACCACTTCTTGCCTCATGTCTCATTGTCTTTCTCTTTGACTTCTTCCTCAACTTTCTCAGGCCCATGACTATCCTCCACAGTGGAGCAGGATGCTCCTGGGACTTTGGAGACCAGCACCTATTCTGACTTCCAGGCTTTGCCATATCTTGCTCCCGACTGGCCTTGTGGGGACCTTTTACAACTCTCTGTCCTCATTCCAGAAAGCCTTCCATAGGGCTCCAAAAGCCTCCTTTCTCTGTCAGCACTCCCTTTCCAACCCTAATGAAACCTCTGAGACTGAGGTGCTCTGAGACCTTTGGAGCCTTAAAATGTTTTGATATCTATGCAAGCTTGTGTCTGGCCTTAACTGATTAGAGAAACCTCTTTAACCAAGTTATAAAAAAGCAAAGGTACGCATGCTTAAAATGATCTGATTCTGGGTTTACTGCAAAATACTCTAGGTAAGTAAAAGCAGAGAAGTAGAGGATACAAAAGCGAAATATGATTGATAACTGCAGAAGGGTTTATGCTCTCTGTTTCTGTGAGTGTTTGACTGTTCCACATATGTGTCTTTAACATATGTGGAGTGATTGCCAAAGCACTGTTAAAAATCAAAAACATTTAATGTATTTGTGTGAGTATGCTTGCATATGAAGTAAGGAGGCATGATGGGTCAGAAGAGTGAGTGTCTTAGGCTGAATTTACACACACACACACACACACACACACACACACACACGTATTTGAAATACAGTGGCAGAGCTTCCAGTATCACAGTGACACAAAAGTCATCACAGTGTAGCAAACTGACAAGTGCTGTACCCATAAGAGCAAATTCTAAAGCAAGCAAGCATATAAATATAAAGCATACATCCTATGGGAAATAGAAAACAAACTGTCCTGAGACATTGGATTTGCCAGCCAAACAGATGACTGGAGTTGGGGTGCCTAGTCAAGTCAGAGTTTCTGCTTGTCTACGTGACTGAAGCCCCAAAATGTGAGCCAGGTCATTGGTAGTACCAATTCCTGTCTAGGATGTGTCAAAATATGGGACATTCAGCCTGGGGCAGAGTTTCTGCAGGCCTCAGATGAACCTAGGCTAGTCAGCCTGGCGAAAGATGCTGTCTGCATCCAGGGAACAGGTGCAGGCCTGGTTAGAGATGGTTAGTAAAAAGAGACTGTCACTGCTGGTCTCATATGATGTAAAAGGAGCAAGAGCAATGTGGACAACGTGGAGGAAATAACTGAATCTGACCTCTACTAATTTGTGAAGGGAAACTGTCCTCATCAACAACATCCACAGTAACAAAATTATAGCCACAAGTTTGGACATAGTCCCCCACTTACCTCACTAATCTATTAATCACTGGACCTGATACTTGTTTCAAATTGACTCAAACTTTAC